ACCACTAGGCCAACTAAGATCGCACTCGTCAATCGCAACTATTACCCCTCAGCTACCACAATTCGAAGATGTCGAGGATGATGAGTCGGAGGCAGAAACTGTTGTGGACGAACCTGTTGATGATGATACAGATGGCGACGCTCTTACGGCGTTGAAGAAGGTGTTGGCTCGAAGCCGAGGTGGTGGTGAGTTTGTTTGACCATCTCTTCGTGGGCATTCTAATGCTAAGTAGATGTTTCTCCCCTAAAATCCTCCGCAAGGGCCCGCCCAGTTAGCTCTCTAGAGTACCATACCTATGGTATTCGCGGTCGTTCAGTTGGTACTGGGTCTCTATATGATCCATTTTCATCACCTACCAAATCCCATGCGTCCAGCGTCCAAACACCCCGCCACAAACCTCGCCGCCGACATGTTGCAGATGGAGGATTTCACAAGGGAGATCTTGGAAATACTTCACCGACGACCGTCACAGATCCAGACTGCGCATCTGACCGAGATCTATCAGATTTAAATGGCGACGACGCGGCGGGTGAGACCAGGTGTATTTGTGGTGGTCGCCAGGATGATGGTGGAAAGACTATGGTTCAATGGTATATATTCTATGGTTATACATACGAAGAACCAAGATTTCTAACAAGAACTCTAGTGAATCTTGCAATCATTGGTCGCACATCAAGTGCTTAGGGTACAATCGTCGAACTTTGCCAAAGGTTTTTGTCTGCACATTCTGTATAGATCATACCCCGCAGGCAAGAAACAGAACGCGAGGACTTGCAAGAGTCAAGTCCTTGCCATCACTCCGTGCACACTTCGATGCTCGTTAACCGGTCGATTGACTTATCTCAATTCAAATTCACACCTCGAGGAACCTCCAGATCGGAAACGCAAAGGGCATCATGCATTAGCGTTCGGGTATCGACGTTTAATGTAGGTGTACGTTTAGGAATTTGCGTTTTGAATTCTTATTGGTTATGTATGTATAGATACGAGCCACCCTTGCGTTCACTCTCCGGAGGGGCTGAGTTGGCATGGCTTTTATGGAGTGATTTTTTTTCTTCTTTGCTTTGTGCGTTTGACGGGTGGTTGCCTGGATTATGATAGAATGGGAAAGCGTTCGTTCAAATGCTGTATACCTAATTGGTTTTTGTTTTTGTTTTTTTTGGAAACCCTCCTCTTATCGTGATATGCTCATGTCAATTTATGTATCTGGAATAGTAAAGAAACAATGAGAGCTGAAATGTAAGACATGCATGGTATGTACAGTACATCGGTAGGTGGTGGTAGTGGTTTAATTTCGGACATGCCGGTAAATGCTTTAGTATACGTGACTCAGGAGAATTCTATCTGGCGGCTGCGGCTGCGGCGAGTGATGGTATATGGTAGCGGGAGAAGAAGGACAGGAGGGACTTTATGTGGGCTTTCTTTTGGAGGACGGTGTGTGCCAACAGATCGTTTGGTGAATTGAATGCTTTCATAAAGCCTGGATTGTCAAGATGTTCGAGTGGCAATTCTTCTGAGTCTTCTCCGCCTCCTTTTGCCGATCCGCCGCCGATCTCGTAGTCGCTGATAGACGTTGCCAAATGCAGTGCCGTAAATGCGAAGGATCAGAACCGAATTTAACGAGCGAGCAAACCATTTGTTTATTCTCTTTCCTTCTCCATGGCTAGATATTCTAGAATGGTAGTGCTGGCTGGCTGGGCTAGCACTTGCAATTTCGGGAATCAGACGAATACCTACAATATGAAAGATATTCTCGGGAGGTTGTTATGGTGATATCAACGAGAAGTTTTGAAACCGTACTTCCCGGCTAAGGACTTCTAAGATGTCAATGTAGAGGGGGGTATCCATTTTTGCACTGTTTCCGGACGTCCAAAGGCATCCTCCAGGATAGATAAATGAATGGACGTGGTGATGCCACGGTAAATTCAAAACCCGATGCATAAATATGATTCAGACGCTCCACAGCTCTTCTTTTATTAGTAAGTCGTCTGTGTACGGATCTACTCCCTACTTAGTACTAGTTGTCATTGATACCTTGGGAGCTAAAGAACGTGTGCCATATGGACAAATGCTTGAATTCGGTAGCATACCTAATGGTCAAGGAAATGTGTAACCTCCAAGAAGTAACGTAGCTTTTACGGTTCACGTTCCTACCAGTAATATGGACCGAGATTCCACAGCTTTGTATTGCAGGACAATCATTATTTGTTTGTTTGTTTTATTCATACTGTATGCACTCTAACTAGAGTATGACAAAGCCCATATCTCCTCCGCGAGCCGGCTAGATGGCGGAGTTCCCCACCCGCTACCCTTCGTCCCCTTCACACCGGGGAGCTGGCACTGGGGTTCGAACCCATAGCATTGTGGCCGTATACCCCGTCTATATTTTCAGGAGGACAATCATTATTGTGGGTTGCAATGGTGGCTTTGATATCGTTGGAATGGCGTCCATAGAGGAATACCTGACAATCAGAGTGAGCTCAAATGAGGAAGTACCCTCAAGAAGGGGCTACACGATTGTGTGGCTATTCCTTAAAATGTTACTGACCACCACTACACGCCCGCATAGAAGTCATCACAACCTCTAAACCGAATGGAATGCAGCGGTGATGAAGGTGAACGGGAGGACAGCCAGTATCAGTAATCGTCAAAGTAGAGTTCTGGAGCACCTTCAAGGTATGGCGGTATCACGGGAATTAGGCACTTCGAGAGTGGTAGGAATAACGATTCTTTTTATTAACCTGTGGTCCGAATACTTAGCAGCCTGTTTCACTTGAATGGATCCGGAGCTCCAACGGCACCAAAGGGACGAAGAACTCACCTCCCCCTCACTCCCTCCCCTCACTCCCTCCCCTCACTCCCCTCCCTCACTCCTTTCTCCTTTCCCCTCCCTCCCTCTCCTCCCTTCTTCAACTGTCTCAACCAAAAAATTCCGGGGGAGGCGGCCGCAATGAGCCCTCCCGCCTCCATTAGCAAAGCATCGATAGTTCTGTCCGTTAACTTGTCGAGACCTCTATAGAAACGTTATAAATTAGCAAAGATAAATATTTAATAACTGGGATACTTACTACTGCTAATATGCTTGAAAATTCCCCCCCCTCTTCCCACACTACCCCCCCCCCCCTTTTCCCATCTCCCTCTCTCCCCAGTCCTCTCCTTTTCTTAGACTTCTTTACGAGCTCCCGGGCGAGAGGCTGATGACGATCAACCCAATCCCCACCATGACTGACTCGCCTACAATAAACCACTTCTTGATGAATTGGTAGAACTCCGGACTTGGGATAATGTCAGTACCCAATGATTGATGTGACTAACTTGTCCATTGCCGTGACCATCATCATGTTAATAGTTCTACAGAAAGCGTTATAAATTAGCAAAGATAAATGCTTGATAATTAGGATACTTACTCTAAATTTCTTAACCAATTTTTTTGAACATGGGGTTCATCATGAAAGGATTCCATTCACCCCCCCCCCCCCCCAACCCCTCCTCCCTCATTGCTCTCCCCATTTTTGAAAAGATTTGTTCCATGTTAGGTATGAGTATGGCGGGTTTTGAAATGGAGTTGATGATTATTGATTGTTTTAATCAGTGTTCTCAAGCAGTCAGATCGACCAGCCAGTCATCTACAGATCCATAGACTAGTCAGATAAAGTGATGATTCTTGACACCGCCCTTAGCATAGACCGGTGACGGTCCTTCATTGAAAATCTGCAGAGCCTGAAGATATCTGTAGACTGGCTAGATGATGATTTGAAAAGCCGCCCTTGGCATAGGCCGGTGGCTGCCGCTCAGCAAAAAGCCTGGGCCGGTCAGATGGAATCATATCTGACCAGACTGGCCGCTTGAGAACACTGGTTCCAATCGAGTGATGTTCGAGTAAGAGTGCTGTGTATCTGAGTGTTTTCCTGTGATAAGATATATATGGATGGATAGTTGCAGTGAAGTGTGGATACCACAGCAAGAAAGAAGTCGAATGACCGCTCATGACAGTGACAGATACTTTATGAACAAACGGTAAAATCGTATCAGTCTCGTCCACCTCACATACAAATAACAAATCCTAAACTCACGTCCTACTACTCGTAAACCCGCCACGTTCTCCGCATCCTATTTGGTTTTTAGTGAGCGGGATACGGCGTGGTTGGCAGCAGTAAGATTGAGGCCGGTAATGGGGGGGGCTTGATTTGTAGCAGGTTCATCTTTATTTTTTGGGGTTGTTGTGGATGGGAAAGCAAGAGAGGTTAGAGAGAGAAGTTGAGTGGGTTTGATGTGTGGGATTTAATTTATAGCGGGTTCATCTTCGTTTGTTTGGTTGGTTGTGGTGAGGTGTAGGAGGGAGAGTATGAAATAGTGGAAAGATAATTCAAATGACCGCTCAAGTGTACTCTACCAAAATACTGGCCGCTCCGCTGTATTATCTTAAGCAGCAGCAGCTTTTCACCAACACCAGAAACCGGTGAGTCACTAGCTACATTTAACAACAATAACAGTACAGAAAAAAATCCAACCCCCTTCATCACCTATTCTCCATCTCTAATTCATAGCACTGTGATTACAATCAGCGGGGAAACTACAGGAGCCTTCGGAAGCCTACTCATGATCGTGGAGCATTAATATTGCTGGTATACCAGGTAGCATATCCGCTACTGATTCCGGCGACGAACATGGTGTAGAAAACCTTGCCTAAGTCTAATTATTTTATGAACCCGCTATTCAGGGTTGATGTACGAATGGTTTACCTTTGCGGGTCTCGAGAGAGAAGCGCTGGCTTAGTTGAGTGGGAAGCCAACAGCCATGACAGAAAGAAAGTTCTTGAAGAGATGAGCAGACGGCATTGTTAAAGGTTTTATGTTGGTACTGCTGCGAGGATGTTTGAGGACGACGGTTGAGTAAGAAGATGAAGGTTTGGTTGGGGAGAGTGTGCTTTATTTCTCTCGAGCAGTGTCATAGTAATAAGTATACTCACAAAGCCCCCAACTCTATATATTTGTGATATTGTCAAGATGTCCGAGTGGTTAAGGAGTGTGACTCGAACTGGCTTCTTCTGAAGTATATTGATATCACATGGGTTCGCCCGCGCAGGTTCGAATCCTGTTCTTGACGTTTTTTTGGTCAGGAAGCCGTGTTGGTTTTGGGTATCAACTTTTATCCACTTTGGTCACCCAACAACTAACTTATGCAGCTCATTATCTATATTCGTCACACGGGAGAAGGATTCCATCCATGCCCCAGCAAAACACTGTCTAATAATATATTCATTCACTCATTCAAAACCATGATCCCAGACTCCATAACACCAACAAAAAGCAACACTCACCACCCCCTTTCCCTAACAACAGCCTCAATACATCTTCCCACTCCCTCCAGTTCCCCAAGCAAACTAACATGCCCCTTATCCACCGCCACCTTCCTCACACACCTGTATCCTGGTGGTAACATGGCAGCCTTCGATAAACAGACTCCATCGCCAGCACCAAACACGAGCTCATCGTACACATCCGCTCTTTTTATTCCCTCGAGCCCATCAACCTTTGCTCCTCGTACCGTCGGCGTCGTTTTCGAGTACAGCACTGTCATCGGCGGGTACTGTTCCTCCAGCTCGGGGTTGTAGTACAAGCCCTTGCGGAACTCAAGGGTGGCGGCGAGGGTACGGGTTAGGTACGGGACTGCTAGATATTTTGGGATTGTTGGGGTTTCGGGGGTGGAGGTGGGGTTGAGTTGGGGTCCCATGGAGGGGGTAGTGCTCAGGTCTTTTTCTTTTTCCTTTTCTTTCTCTTTGGTCATGTCGTTGAGGGGGTTTAGGCTGTGGAGGACGGAGGATGCGTTTGAGAGGCGGGTAAGTGGGGAGATTGGGGGTGGGACGGGCGGTGCTTGAGGGACGTCGGAAACGCAGGGAGAGAGGCCGTATTCGCGCCAGGAGTTGACGGAGTAGAAGTTGAAGGGCAGAGGCTGTCCGGTTTTTTTGTCGATGAAGCATTGGCCATCTTCGGGGAGCAAGGCGTAGGATGACCTGAGGGTGAAGTTTACCTGGTTGCTGTTAGTGGAGGACGATGCTAGTGGAGGTTGGGGTTCGTACCTGTGCGGTAAATACTTTTGAGTTGAAGAGGACTGAATCTCCATTCTTCAATGGTCCCAGGATATTGATACAGTTCATTGGCGTCCCCGCAAATAGCACTCCCGAGAATAATTCTGGTCTCTGGTTCATAGCATTCCGGACGATAAGCCCACCGAGGGAATGTGCAATTACCAGAGCGCCACGCCCCTTCCTTCTAACCGTGGGATCCTCCCCTTCAACCGGTTTGTTACACGGCAGGGTTTCCAAAAACTCAATCAGCCGCTTCACAATCAGGGCGGGCGACAGTCTCCAGTCGTACCCCCAATCATGAACCCGGCGGTCATGTTCCGCAGCGCCGGTATTCAGCCTCCGAATCAACCGCCGACTAATATCAACGGCAGAAATAGACTTCAACATTCCATCGGGTATGATCTTCTCTGCAGCCCGCTCCTCGTCCTCCGACTCTAATCCCACCTCTAAGTCTACCTTCCGCAAGTTAAGCCCCACCTTCAATGGGATCCATACACGCCGTCCAGTTGCTGCGTCCCGAAGAATCGAGCCGCGGTATCCTCCTAGAACCACAACATCTCCCTTAACAGTATCCAGCGCTTCCATCGCCGGAGTTCTGGGAATAATCGTGATGGGAGCATTATCAGTCGTATCTGTGAATGGATTCAGGTTTGCCAAATGCTGTTGCAAATGCGGGAGTTGTGGCATTGTTGGAAGCCCCGCGATAAGGTTGTCTTTGATGGCTTTCAGACGGGAATTTGTCATCTGGGTGATGTGCAGAAACCTTGCGTCGTCGCCCAAAGACGATGTCGTTGATCCTCCAGTTGCAGCTCTGTGGAGTGAGAGTCTTTTCACGGATGACATGGAGGACGATCTCCTTAACAATGGAGGCCGCGGGGCAAGACTTGCATTGATACTACTAGAGCCTTCAGCTTCCCGAGGCGACGACGGTTTACTAAAGAAATTGGAGCTTCGTTGCGTGGAAAATATACCCGAAGACGATAGCTGGATAGTTGTCTTCGCTCTTTGGCGTTTAAACCTCTCCGTCATGGTCTCGTTGGAGGAACCACCATTCCCGGTGACGAACGACGGGAGGGAAACATTCCGCGGCAACGAGGGGAGTTGGAACGATGGCAGAGAGAATGTATTCTTTTGATGGGTCTTTTTATGGTGATGCTGGTTATTGGGGTTGCGATGCTGCTGCTGTGGTGGTGGTGGCGGTGGTCGTCGATCTTGCAATAAAGCAGGTTTCACTTTTGTATGCGGGGCGCGCCTAATCTTCCGTACCCTGCCTAAGACTTCGTCGTCTTCCTCCGAAGATGGTGAGACAGAGCGCGGCGGTGAGTGGCTGGGTGTTGAAGCGGCGGCATAGAGCACCGAAGACTGTGTGTGGGAGAGAATTGGCGCAATGAGTGACCCTACGTCTACTTCTCGAAGTCCCTTTTGTTCGCGGATACTTTCTGCGAGGATGTCTTCATTGTTCTCTTCGGAGGAGGAGGATGGCTGTGAAACTTGGATATGTCGGTTGTGGTGGTTATGATGTTGCGGGTGTGTGATAGGTTGATAGATCGAATGCGTTGGAGCAACCACATGGAGCGTAGGGGAGGCCATCTTTTCATCCCTCCACGATAGCTGTCGTCGTTGAGAAAGGAGAAAGGAGAAAGGAGTCACATGTAAATAAGTTGGAGTACTTCTTAGTAGAACAACAGGAAGTGACCCACTTCTTCGGAATTGAAAGCTGCGCTCTTTCTCACTCACCGGGTTGGCTAAGTTTCTTGTTCGTGCTCCAACCCCGTATTCGGCATCATCTTTCCTCCGATCATCCGTATATCCCAACTCATCACATCAGCAAAAAACTCGGCCACTATCCGCGTTTGCAGAACTAAGTTACTTATGTGTTGCGTCAAGAAAAAGCTTACCTTTCCGTAATGCGGCTGAAGTCACTTCCGTGGTGACGAAAGCAAGTGGATATCTCATCGATATCGAGACGTTTCGATAAGCTTTGATTCAAGGGCTTCCCATTAACTCCAAGTTGTACAGTTGTAATTGATGTCAGCGGCGTGCCATATCTCATCTCGTTCTTGTCGTTGATCACAGACTCCCGCCCAGTCTTTATTTCAATCGTTACAAGTATTTACACGTGTTTACATGGGGAGCTGAGTACCACTCGGGGATAACAGCGGAGGGCGGGGTTCCAGAATGTTGCACAGGAAGTGGGCACTTAAGTATTATTAACATCCCTCCCCTGACATCTGCAGCGTGTGGTTTGCGGAGGACGCTCCGACCGTCTAGCGCGTCAGTTGGAATATTTAGAGCACCACTCTACTCGAGGCAGTCTAACGCTCTTTTTCCTCAGAAATTCCCTAATAAACAATGTGTCAACTAATCGTCTAGAGTTGAGATCTCAAATAATCTGCAGCAGTCGACAAGAGAGCTACATCTCAAAGGAAAACCGTCCAAACACCCACTGCGAAAAGGTATAAACATGAAACAGATGTCCCAGAACGTAATGCCTGTAAACCACCGCAAAACGCACGCAGAAACTCAAAAGAAGAAGCCTCCAGACGCCATTTACCCCCAAACCCCAAGCAAAATCAAGTGTAAAGTTCCGGATTCCAATTATCATATGTCACCGCATAGTAGGTGGTCTGTTGTCCTTATTCCACATTACTCTCGTCTTCAACCACTCCACTGCTTCCACCACTCCAGTCCTGTCCTCGTCAGCCTCTCCTCGTCACGTTCGGACGGGGGATAATTTACCCCTCCAACGCTGACACTGGTAGTACCCGACTATCTCTTGCCCCAAGCTGTACAACGACTGGATTAATAACCTCCTTCAGCTCTGCAATCTCCAGACTCTCATCGCGATCCTGTTTATTCGCCAGCACCAATACTGGAACCCCCTCCGTTTCCTCACTCTCTATCACTTCTCGTAGAGTCGCAACAACCTCGCTCTCAATCCTGGGGACATCCGTAGAGTCGATAACAAAGACAATCGCGTGCGCTGATGAATAATAGCTTTTCCACAGCTTCCGCAGCGTGGATTGTCCTCCTATGTCCCAAAGCTTCAGGTATACGGCGGGTTTTTGGAGCGGGATGATGGAGACGTTTTGGCCCACGGTTGGGATCGTGGAGCCGGACTTTGGAGGCGCGGGTTGAGAGGGGAGGTAGATGGATTTTATCTTCTCGAGGAGTGTCTAGCATATCATTATCAGCTCCCGAGAGCCTGGATGGAGGAGGAAAGAGCTGGAACAGACCGTTTTCCCGGCATTGTCGAGACCGAGAAGTCTATTGCAATGTTAGTAAGCAAACAAGAGCTGTGATTAGGAAGGACAATGTGGCCATACAGAACCGAATACTCCTCCTTGCTAGTCGCATACAGGTAAAGGCCCTTGGCAAGATGATACATCAAGACGCGAAAGATCGGCGGAAGTCGATTCGTTCGGTGCCGCAGTTGAGAGCGAAGTCGGTAGGTGGGTGAGTGCGTGCCAGTGACACCTTGAAGATGTGGGATGAAGCGGAGTGGTGGGAGCAGAAAACCCCACACCAATGAGGGCCATTTCTTGGCTTCGTTGTACAAACTCAAATCCGAGCCGCTCAATATTTTTTACGCTTTCTTTCCACATGCCCATGGCGTTTCAATCCCACTGGACACGCATCACCATCCAACGCCTCGTTCATCACTTGCGCATCTCAGCAACAACATCCATCCGACTATCGACACTCTCTCATTCGTCTAACTCCACTCCTCGCGACGTCTCATCTGAAACCTCCTTTCACCGATCCTTCAGCGCCTCTGCCGTGTATCCCACCATGCACGTCGTCGATGCTTCAGCCCCAGAAGCAACAACAGCTCAACACAATGGCGCTTCAGAACCAGTTACCAAGCGACGCAAGCTGCAAGGGCGAGAATTCTACGAATCCATTGGGTCACCACGAACTATAGTAGCACCGATGGTCGAACAAAGCGAGTTGGTACGAAACAAAACCACCACCTTTTTTTTATACATTTTCGCGCCTCAAAGCCCACACACACACA